GGGATGACCACGTGAAGTTTGGGCTCTCTTGGGAAGAGCCCAAGAAGAGCTTTCCTGGGATGCTCTATACTTGTGGGACCCAGAAGTTCCCCTTTCTGCTGGACTCGTGGAGTTGGAAGGATGTGAGTCTAGAGCTACCAGACGCCAGCTTGCCCACCACACGAAAGACCTGCCTAGAAGTTGAGGTCAAGACGAGTGAAGAGATGGAGAGACAGGGACAGAGAGAAACGGAATTAATGACATTTCTTGAGAACCTGGTCCCAGTGATGCCCGAATCCTGTCCACTCCGACCACCAACTATCAGCCATAGGAACCAAGACATTTTTTCCTTGCTAAAGCCAATTTGAGGCCACTTGCAATCAAGAATCATGACTAATGTACTATTATCTTTTTGTTGTTGTTTTGTTTTGTTTTGTTTGAGATGGAGTCTTACTCTGTCACCCAGGCTGCAGTGCAGTGACGCTAACCCAGTTCACTGCAACCTCTGCCTCCCAGGTTCAAATGATTCTCCCACCTCAGCCTCCCGAGCAGCTGGGATTACAGGCTCCCACCACCATGTCCGGCTAATTTTTGTATTTTTAGTGGAGATGGGGTTTTACCATGTTGACCAGGTTTGTCCTGAATTCCTGACCACAGGTGATCTGCTCGCAGAGTGCTGGGATTATAGGCGTGAGCTGCGACGCCCGGCCAATATACCATTATCTTAATAAAGACCTTTGCCAGGCATGGTGGCTCATGCCTGTAATACCAGCACTTTGGGAGGATGAGGCAGGCGGATCACAAGATCAAGAGATCGAGACCATCCTGGCCAACCATCATGGTGTAACTCCTTCTCTACTAAAAAAAAAAAAATATGAAAAAATTAGCCAGGCATAGTGGTGCACACCTGTAGTCCCAGCTACTTGAGAGGCTGAGGCAGGAGAATCACTTGAACCTGGGAGGCGGAGGTTGCAGTGAGCTGAGATCGCACCACTGCACTCCAGCCCCGGCGGCAGAGCGAGACTCCATCTCAAAAACTAAAAATAAAATAAAAAATAAAGACCTTCAGAGAGCCAATTCTAACTCATTTGTTATGCTATAGGTATCATCAAACTGGTCTCCCCTGACAGCCTGCACCTGACCCATCTGTATTAATATGGAGTGTCCAAACTGGGACAATTTTGAGTGAAAGGGGAAAAAAATAATAATTACACCTGGGTAGCAGGTGTAAGCCAGACCTGTCCTGGGCAAATGGATGTGTGAGTAGCTGGGTTAAGAGGTAGGAGTTCAGAATGAAGGTTGGCAAAGAGGCTGAGGACGTGGTACACTGTGCTCAGGTTGGCACGGAACACTGAGGCCTGTGCAGCCTCCCCAGCCCGTCCAGCTTTCCTTGAGGCGATCGTTGCAGAGACAAAAAGACAGCTCCCCACAGAACCATCTGGAAAGCCCTGTCCCTGGGCTTCTAAGGGACCCAGATGTTTAGATCCAATTCCACCAGGCCGTGTAGGAGAGACCTGTGGAGTGAGCCAGTGAGTGGACCCCCAACTAACTCCAGGATATTAGCAAGGCCTCCAGCAATGAGTTACTTCCTTTTGCCACCAGCAAGTGAAGTCTCCAAGAGCAAAACCTTTTTCAAGATGATCAGCTTAGCCGGGCACGGTTGCTCAAGCCTGTAATCTCCAGCACTCTGGGAGGCCGAGGAGGGTGGATCACCTGAGATCAGGAGTTCAAGACCAGCCTGGCCAACATGGTGAAACCCGGTCTCTACTAAAAATACAAAAATTAGCTGGGTGTGGTGGTGCGCACCTGTAATCCTAGCTCTTTGGGTGGCTGAGGCAGTAGAATCACTGGAACCTGGAAGGCAGAGGTTGTAGTGAGCCGAGATTGCACCACTACGTTCTAGCCTGGGAGACAGAGCAAGACGCCGTCTCAAAAGTAATAATAATAATAATAATCAGCTTGCTTGTGTTTGTCCTGCATGTCTTTAAACCTGCGTGGTCTATGCAGTGGCTAAAAGGTAGTAGACTGAGATGCTGACAATGACAACACAGGCTTTAGGCCAGAGGCTGGCTCCATCGGTATGAGTCTTGTGGCCCTGGGCCAATCACTGCCTGCTTCTTTTAAGTGGGGCCATCATACTCACCAGGAAAGGCTGCCGATGAGGATTAGGGATCCCAGGCAGTCCCTGGTAAGGGCCGATTGAGCTTGGTGAAGCATAGTTGCTGTTATGACACCCAGTCCCTTAGTTAATCTAGTCTGTGCCCGCATTGCTGGTGAGACACAGGGGGCAGACCTCTGTTGGTTCTCCAGGTGGTCAGATAAAGGTGCAGAAAAGCAAACAGCCCTTTGCCCAGCACTTCTTCTTTAATAAATCACTGCTTAGTTCCTGTAGAAGATTCCAGACTTTGGAAACACTCACTGGAAATTTATCCTAATTATCTATTTAAAAATGGCTTTCTAAACAGGGTGCTGAGATAAGATTGCACACCTACGTGTTTAAGCATTTCTAAGGTCTCGTTTTTTTATCAACACACCGACAAGCTATGAGGCTACTAAGATGAATGACTGGTTCCTTGAAACTGGGCTTCATTTACAAGTTACTAGGTGCCCTTTAGGAGGGCAATTTCACGTGTTTAACCAAAGCCTTACAAACATACGCGTCTGAGATTCTATCCTTAGAATATAGTCACGAGTGCAGTGATGTCCTCACAATGAGTCAAACTGTGAAAAGTTGGACACAATCTAAATGTCCAAGCATGGATTGTTAAATTTGCTAATTTTAAAATTTGGTTTATCCGTACAGTTGATCCTTAAATAACATGAGTTTGACCTGCATGGATCCACATAACGTGAATTTCCCTCCGCCTCTACCACTCCTGAGACAGCGAGACAAACCTCTGCTCTTCCTCTTCCTCTTCCTCTTCCTCCTCAGCCTACTCTACGTGAAGATGATGAAGACCTTTATGATGATCCATGCCCACTTAATGAATAGTAAATACATGTTCTGTTCCTTACGATTTTCTTAATAACATTCTCTTTCCTCTAGCTGACTCTAGTGTAAGAATACAGTGTATAATACGTATACAGAATGTGTATGAATCCACTGTTTATGTTATCAGGAAGGCTTCTGATGAACAATAGGCTATTAGTAGTTAAGTTTTGTGGGGGCCAAAAGTCGTGCACAGATTTTCAGCTGTGTGAGGGGTCAGTGCCCCCAACCGCCGCACTGACCAAGGGTCAATTGTATTTTTAATGTTAAGCTACCATTAAAAATTGATAAACGAGACTTGAAAATTTTTAAAGCCTGCGCTTCCAAAGACACCATTACGAAAATGAAGAGGTAATCCACTCAGATAAAACTTTTCATGGTACGGATATCTCACGAAGGACTTGTATCCAAGAACAAATTAAGAATTGTCATAACGCAATAAGGAAAACAATCTATTTTTTTTAAAAAAGACACATGATTTGAAAAGAGGACTCACCACAGCAGATATACAAATGGCAGTAGGCATGGGAGAACATGCTTGACTTTAGGAGTCTTTAGGGAAATACAAATTGAAACCTCAATGAGTTAATGCCATACACTCACAAAAATGGTTAAATTTAAAAGGTTGACAACACCCAGCGCTGGTGGGAGTGGGAGCAACTGGAGCTCTACCCAAGCCACTGTCCCTTCAACCAGGGCCCTCCTTCGGTCATGATGAATTTCCGCTTTTCTTTTTTCCTCCTGCGCCATCTCCTACCCCAGTTAATCGTGCGTATCTGAAATCTGATTGTGGGCCCAGCTGCTGTTTTACCCCCATGAGAGTCCCTGTGACCACAAATAAATACCTGGATGGAGGGGGCTCCCCAACTCCAGAGCCGACATGGCCACCTCAGCCTTGCCCAGACAGCCCCCAACACCTATGAGGCTTTGCATGTGTCCTTCCTAAACACATGGGCATACACATCTGACTTCCCCAACTCTCCTCCCCAGGCAACTTGGTAACCCGCCTCACCTTTACAGACACGCACAGGTGTCACCTCCTCCAGGGAGATCTCTTTGACTCGTCTCAGTGGGGCTAAGCGGCCCTCGTCTATTCTCCCCCGGAGTCCTGGGCTTCGCTTTCTCACACACCCAGCACCCCTCCAAAACAGTCATTCTGCAGTAGTGGGGGAAGGTGCCCTGGGACCCAATTCTTAACTCTGGCAGTGAACGAGGGTACATCCACTGGGATTCCCTTTGCCTGCTGAGGATCAGAGTTGGGGGAGGAGGTTATGAAACCGCTTCCTGCTCAGAGGCTGTGTTGAGAAGTGACAACACCTTGTACGGAATGTGGGCTGCCCTTCAGTAGACGTGATGCTCAGAACCACGGCCTCCAACTGTGGCTCCTGGGGGCAGGGCTGGGTCTGCTTAGCTGTGACCCCCGTGCCCTCCCTGAGGCTGGCCGCAGATCAGGCACCCAACAAATGTATGGGTGTGGTCCACCCAACCTCAGGGAAGGGGCTCAGCACCAGGAGGGTGGCGCCCACCCTGAGCTGGGGACTCATCGTCCAAAGTCACCTACTTATCTGTCTTTTTGTTTATGTCTGCTCTATCACCTTGTCTCTCTCTGTTACTGACATTTGGCATGGGGATGACCTTAGGGTTTTGTAAGTCACTGGACATATTTAACTAACTTTTTCCCTGCTGACCTGTATTGCTTCCAAAGCTGGCTTCTATCTACCCACCACCTCATTACTGTGTTCTGGGCACAGGAGGAAGCGCAGGACCCAGCGAGCCTGACTGGGGGGACCTCGGGTGGCAGCGTGGCAGGACAGACAGAGATGAACATTCACCAGGGCGCAGGTGGTCCACGTCACTCTTGCAGTGAAATCATGTTTCTCGCGTTTTAGATTTTACAGAGGAGGACACAGAACATAATCACTGTTTTTGTTCATTCTAAGTAAACATCTGACAATGCGCAATTCAGTGGGTTCTGTCCCCCAACACAACAATGCTGCCTTAAATAAAAAATGCCTGAAAATATGTGCCTCTCCACCCACAATCCTGGCTGTGCAAGAAACACTTGACTTCCTCGACTCTTCTCTTTCAAGTCCTTCTTTCACCCTAGGTCACTTCTGTCCCCTGCCTCCATTCTTAGAAAGCGCTGGTCCTCCTGTCTGTGCCCCAGCCGACGCTCCATGCACGGCCTGTTGGGGTGTCCCTTCCCTCCTCCGCCCTGCCTGAAGCTCAAGTGTCACCTGTACAGCTGAACCCCAGGTCTGTTTCGGGGCACGGGGAAACAGTCTACATCCCTCAGGACTTAGGATGCTCAAATCTGGTAGGTGTCTCAGGTAGGTGGACAGACAGACATAAGGAGTCATTTTGCTTCTCCTTCCAGGTGGGGGTCGGGGACAACACTTCGAGGCTTCCTGAAGCCTACTGCCCGGACTGGGGCAGATGTTTGTCCTGCCCTCTGTAGGACTGCTGGGGACAGCTCCAGGCAAGGTCTTCTCTGCTCTCAGATTCTCCTCATCCTGGCTGGGATTTCTGTCGCCCTCTCCCCATGCCTGGAGATTGGTGTTGGGTCTAGGGTCTCTCCTGGGAACCCAGAAATATCCAAGTTTCTTTTTTTTTTTTTTTTTGAGACAGAGTCTGGCTCTGTCACCCGGGCTGGAGTGCAGTGGCCAGATCTCAGCTCACTGCAAACTCCGCCTCCCGGGTTTACGCCATTCTCCGGCCTCAGCCTCCCGAGTAGCTGGGACTACAGGCGCCCGCCACCTCGCCCGGCTAGTTTTTTGTATTTTTTTAGTAGAGACGGGGTTTCACCGTGTTAGCCAGGATGGTCTCCATCTCCTGACCTCGTGATCCGCCCGTCTCGGCCTCCCAAAGTGCTGGGATTACAGGCTTGAGCCACCGCGCCCGGCCAAAACATCCAAGTTTCTTCACTTCCTCTCTGATTCTTCAAGATCTTGCCCTGAGGATGCTGTTCTGGTCAGGCAGGAGGAAACCTTCCTCTGGGATAGCTCATCAGGCGTTGTCTCCAGTCTGCCGGTTTATAAAGAGGGCCGGGCTTTTAGAAGTCAAAAGCCAAGATTTTGATCCATTCGTCGAGGTCATGAAGGCAGAGAGCTCATTGGCTTGAACAAGGAGGGTGGAGGTAACAGGAAACGCAGAGCGGAGACCACTTGTTGGCTAGCATTCCAAATACTATTCTGCGTACAGCTAATTTACATATGATCATTTATGCCAACTCCACTGTAAACTCGAAGATGAACGTGTTTTTTGCAGTCTAGTTAGGACCTAGTGCAGGCTGCCCCTAAATGCAGAAACAGCTGTTTGATGTGAATTCTGCCTCCTAGGCAGTAAAATCTCCCCAGTCAGCATTCACTGAGCCCTGAGCAAGCCTGGACACTGGGGACATACACAAAAGAGAATCCATTAAGTCCCTGCCCACATACAGCCCACAGTCTGGAAGGAGACAGATGATCATCATTAACAGAATAAAGTGCTGCCTGTTGCCAAAATTCCTACAAGTAGGAGAGCACCCTGAGCAGGGGTAGACATCTAAAATTGGCACATAAACTTAGCATCTTTGGAGGAAAGCAACTGCCTTGTGTGAGACCTCTCCGGGGCCTCACTCACGGCAGCTGAAATTGTCTCGGGGTGGGGAGGTCCCTGCAGCCAACGCTGTGACTTACCATTCTAAAAGGCTGGCCCTCATGCAGGCCATCTGCAGGAACTAAGGCATTCCCAAGCAGTGAGCCTGCTCTTGGCGGAGCATCTTGGAGAGCTACGAGGCAGCCCAGGCCTAGGCCCACCCTGCCCCAGGGCCCAGGTGGGGTCACTTTGGCAGCCTGGAGGGAGCTGGGTTCCAGGATTCTTGGAGGAGGCCTGGCTGGGGCACTTAACTCCCACGGTGCTCTGTAATGCACTCACCATTAGAGCTGCATGTGGCTACACCGCCCTCCAAGACAACCTTCCTAAGCTCTGCTTATGCCCGTAGCCTGCCCTCCTTCAGGCCTCCCCACCTCCCGCCTGCATTGCTGTCTTGCTTGGACCCTGGCCTTCCCCCTCCAACCCACCCTTTCCTCTGCCCAGAGGAGATTTTTCTAAAATGTCCATCTGATCATGCAACTCTCCGGCCCTTCACTGCCTCCCCAAGGAGATTTTAAGATAAATTCCTAACATCTCAGATTAGTACACAGCCCTTCCTCCCACACGCCCACCCCCAACCCCATCCTCTGCCCAGCTCCCTCCTATCTCTGCCCCTCCCTCTCCCTGCACATTCTTGCCTGCCAGCCCTCACCTGCAGGCGTTGGCACAAGCTGCACTTTGCCTCACTGGTTCCCGCTCATCTTTCTTGACCCAGTTCAAGATCCTTGCCATCCTGGAAGCCTTTCAGGTTCACCAGCTGGGCCAGCACCACTGTCATGAGGTCTCACAGCACTTGTTCCACCCTATTAGCCCCTGTCTCTCCCAACAAGGAGATGCCTTTATTTTTCACTGATCTCCATCTGGCGTGTGTGCACTCAAATGTGCATCCTGGGAGAAGCAGAGGAGGAGAGCTGGAGGGAGGGGGAAGGAAGGTTGTGCTGCTTGCACCTTCTCCGACTGGATGAAGCCCTTCTCCGGGGAGGGTACTGCTCATTTCCCCAGTGCACCCTCAACAGCAACCAGACAGCGGGCCCTGGAGGCAGACGGAGATGCACAGGAAGGCCCATAGGCTCTATTACGGTTTTTTTTCTGAAGAAGTCTTTATTTCATTTAATTATTTTTGAGATGGAGTCTTGCTCTGTTGCCCAGGCTGGAGTGCAGTGGCATGATCTAGACTCACTGCAACCTCCGCCTCCCAGGTTCAAGTGATTCTTCTGCCTCAGCCTCCTGAGTAGTTGGGACTACAGGTGCGGCGCCACCACGCCTGGCTAATTTTTGTGTTTTTAGTAGAGACAGGGTTTCACCATGTTGGCCGGGTTTGTCTCGAACTCCTGACCTCAGGTGATCCACCCACTTCAACTTCCCAAAGTGCTGGGATAACAGGCGTGAGCCACCGTGCCAGGTCAAGAAGTCTTTATTTTGCATTTTTTTTTTTTTTTACTTTTTATTTTGAAATAATGACAAATTCACAGAAAGTTGCAAGATAGTATAGAGAGATCCCGTGTACCCTTCACCTAGTGTCCCCCAACGGTGATGCCTTGCATAACTACAGTAACACATAAAACCTAGGGATTTGGCGTTGCTGCAATATATGTGTATAGGTCTTTGTCATTTTATGAAATGTGTAGATCATAGAGTTCCTGGACCATACTGAAGGTTGGGCTGCAACCTCATGGCCCAATAACGAGATGCAGATGAACTGGGGAGAAAGAGAGTTTTTATTTCTGCAAGTGGGTACAGGGAGAAGGCCTGGAAATTATCGCCAGACCAACACAAAATTACAAAATTTTCCAGAACTTATATCCCTTCTTTTTTTTTTTTTTTTTTTTGAGATGGAGTTTCTCTCTTGTCATCCAGGCTGGAGTGCGGTGGCGCGATCTCAGTTTACTGCAACCTCTGCCTCCCAGGTTCAAGCGATTCTCCTGCCTCAGCCTCCTGAGTAGCTGGGACTACAGTCACTCGCCGCCACGCCTGGCTAATTTTTTGTATTTTTAGTAGAGATGGGGTTTCACCATGTTGGCCAGGCTGGTCTAGAACTCGTGACCTTGTGATCCACCCGTCTCGGCCTCCCGAAGTGCTGGGATTACAGGCTTGAGCCACCGCGCCCAGCCATAATTTTGTACTTTTAGTACAGACAGGGTTTCACCATGTTGGCCAGGCTGGTCTTGAACTCTTGACCTCAGATGATCTACCCACCTCAGCCTCCCAAAATGCTGGGATTACAGGCATGAGCCACTGTGCCCAGCCTACCTTCTAAGCTATATGTCTATGTGTAAGTTCATTCATCTAAAGACATAAGTGACTAACTTCTTTTAATGTATAACGAAGGTCTGAGTCCTGAAGACCTTCCTCTGGGGCCTCAGTAAATTTACTTCCTCTAAATGGGTCCAGGTGCTGGGGTGTTTACCCTCATCTTGTCTCCTGCTAAATCACAGAGGTGTGGGGAATTCCTTCAGACTCTCAATAAGCTTGTTTGTGGAGGCCTGGGGAGTTTCTTCAGACCCACAATAAAATGTATTTAATCCTAAATGTTAAGAATTCCTTCATTATTTTGTCATGTGTTAAGGCCCAGGAAAGGCCTAAGCAAAACTCTTGGTGGGCTCTTTGTTACATTCCAGCCTTTGCATAAGGACACTGGCTTTTAATGTTTAACTTAACCACTCAGTGCTGAATCAGTTGTTACGGAGGCTTGCATTAGTGAGAACTGGCCTGCCACAATAGTAACCACTGCCACCATGGAAATACCACCTCCCAAGGCGACTGGTGCTACCCCTCAGTCATCCTCCCCTACCACCCTTCACCTGGCAACCACTCACCTGTTTTCCATTTCTAAGATTTTGTCATTTTAAGAATGTTATATGGGCTGGGCATGGTGGCTTATGCCTGCAACCCCAGCACTTTGGGAGGCTAAGTTGGGCAGATCGCCTGAGGTCAGGAGTTCTAGACAAGCCTGGCCAACATGGTGAAACCCCATCTCTACTAAAAATACAAAAATTAGCCAAGCGTGGTGGCACATGCCTGTAATCCCAGCTACTCGGGAGACTGAGGCAGGAGAATCGCTTGAACCTGGGAGGCAGAGGTTTCAGTGAGCCAAGATTGCAGCACTGCACTCCAGCCTGGGCGACAGAGCAACACTCTTGTCTCAAAAAAAAAAAGAAAAAGCATGTTGTATGGCCAAGAGCAGTGGCTCATGCCTGTAATCCCAATACTTTGGGAAGCCAAGGCAGGAGAATCACTTGAGCCCAGGAGTTCAAGACCAGCCTGAGCAACATAGTGAGACCCTCACCTCTACAAAAAAGAAAAATTAAAAATTAGCCAAGTATGGTGGCATGCACCTATAGTCTCAGTTACTTGGGAAGCTGAGGTTGGAGGATGCCTTGAGCCCAAGAGTTCAAAGTTACAGTAAGCTATGATCACACCACTGCACTTCAGCCTGGGTAACAGGGCAAGACCCTGTCTCAAAAAGAAAGGAAAGTTGTATAATGGAATCATAGAGTATGTGTTTTCACTGAAAACCACACCTTTGAGAGCCATCCAAGCTCCAGGCTGTTGTATCTGTTAGTAGTTCATTCTTCAGCATTGCTGAGTAGTATTCCATGGTGTAGGTGAATGGATCACAGTTCAACCATTCACCTATTGGGAAACATGTACATTGATTACAGTTTTTGACTATTGCAAGTAAAA